ATATATATATATATATATATATATGCATAATTTTTATTTTTTAATAAATAAATATTTATTGAAAAAACAAAATAAAAAATATAGTGATCGAGCCAAACTAGATTGGTCGAGTAAATTGACCGGGTTTGCCCATGTTTTTTGTCACCCGGTCCTAAACATCCATCCCTAGTCGGTGGGTCCCTGGCCGGCCCATGAAAAACTATTGTATTATGGCATCTATATCTATATATATATAATAAGAATTAACATATATCACTTTTAGTAATTTTTTCCCGCCACTTTCATTAATTACATGCTAAATATAGAATTTTTGAATAATTTGGGCTAAAAAATAGCTAACCATTAATTGTGAACCGATATGGAATCAAATGGTTTAATTGATTGGGGATGCAAATCCCACTTTTTATGGAATCAATTGCCGTATGACTCTGCCTTTGTTTGGGAACGTAAATCCCATTTTTTTATAGAAATATAACTAATTTAATAATATAAAACTATAATTCTACCGAAAATATAAACCCCACTAACAAATATTCTTATTTAACTACAATAATATTTACAACATCTCATCTATATCTATATATATAATAAAAACAATTATTTACTAGAATAGTAGTAAAAATTTTTGAAAACATTTAATGCATATATCTTTTTGAAAACTTTTTAAATATATGAATTAATTACTTCTATATGCACTTTTTCAAATAAGATCAAATCAGATATAATAAAAAATACTGGGTCCTTAAAAATTTTATTAATATCTGCAATAATTACATTGATATTTATTTTAATAAATTACAAGATTGATTTTTCGTTATTCATGTTGATAATATTTTGGTCAATATAAATATTACAACATTTTTTTTTTTAAATTCTAACCATAATATGTTTTTCATAAATATTCACTTTTTATCTAAAAAAATATTTATAGAAAATCGTAATAGGTTAGGTAGATTTTTTTTCTTCTAATTAATCAGGCGAAATCAAGTTTGTGAATTAATCTTTGTCAATATTTTGTTTCTTAAGCTTTATTTTATTATATAAAAAAAATAAATTATTCTTCAAATTGATATAATAATATATATTTCCATTGTAGAGTATGCTAAATAAACTATAAATCCTTATAATGCAGATTAGAAAAATCTTGATTACAGAAGGGATTGAGTTTTTGGCATTTCCTAAATCAAAGTTGTTTAATTAGTATACAAAATTAAATTCTAAAAAAACATGTGTGTATATTTTGTAAAATATTTGAACACTATTTAATTTTAGATTTATTTACATATATTAAATTGAGTATATAAATAAATAATAATAATAACGTGCCTTGAATATTTTCATTACATCAAATAATATGAAAAAGAAGAATTACAACTTCTTTAACTTTTATAAATAAAAATGACATTATATGACAACAAAGTTTATAGTAAAATAATAATTAAGTATTATATGAAAAGTAATAATAATCAAAATTGTTATTTTTTCTCTTAGAATAAATATATATACTAAAATCAAATTTATATTAGTATAAATGTATTAGTGAGATAATATATTAATTATTTTATAAGTTAGCACTAACATGCTCATATTTAATGTTCAGGCTAAAAAAAACGCTGATTAAAAGAGGTGAAAATACATTATATCCCTATTGTTTTTTAGACTTAACGCTAATTAAAAGAAGTGAAAAATATATAATAATTCTATTGCTTTTTAGACTTAAACAAACAAAGTATGTGAAATTACTAATTTAATATCTTTGTCCCGTGCATCGCACGGGGTACGTACTAGTTAATCTATATATATATGAAATAAGAATATACTTAAATCAAATTTAGTAAGCATTTCCTGTCATTATGCTTTAGTTACATCTTAATTATAGTAGTTTTATACAATTCCTTAAAACAAACCTTGAAGCATTATCAAACCCTCGGCCGGTTAAAGGAAAATCCCAAATTCTCTCGCGACGAAAAAACCCCAATCTCTTGCAGGTTCGATTCTTCACGGTGAATCCGCCTTCCTCGGCGATGGAAAAGCTCGGCTAGTGGTCTTCCTCCACCGTTCCCCCCCCCCCCCCTGGCGAAGCCCCCCTTTTTTGCTGCTTCAGATGGCCCATTAACGGGGAGTCAAGTTCTCGATTGCAGATGGAGTTACGGACGGCGGTGGTGCACCTCGAGGTCGAAGTAAAGCCGACGATTGGAAGCCTCCTTTCAGTCACCGGAGGAGCTGAGATTTGTGACGGTAAACCCTCTCTTCTATCTTTGTCCGTGTATGCCGAATTTGGTTGTTTCCGGTGACACTTCACTTTTCTGGTGGGGATTGCCGCTTGTCGTTGGCTGTCCGTGGTAGTCTCTCGGTCTTCGATGGGTCTACTCGGGGACTGGTTCGAGGTTAGGGTTCTGCTACTGTATAGGCTTAATTGCAGTTTCAGTAGTAGGTTCTTGACTTGGATTGGTCTTGTGTAGATCGTCACTGTTGGTTTGGGCTAGCTCATTCGTTGGGGAAGGGCTGTTACATTTATTTTAGTTTATTTGTTTTTGTTTCTTGTGTTTTTGTTTATGTGTCTGTATTTGTGTTGCGAGTGTCTTGTGTTTATGGTTTGAGTCGTTGGCCCCTGTGAGCCCGAGTGTCAAATTTATTATCCTGTTGGGATCCGACACTCGGGTATTACCCTGTTGGGGTCTTTGTAGTTGTTTTAGTTAGTTGTGTTGTTGGTTAGTTTCGTTGCGAGTGTTTTTTATTCTAGCGTTGCTAGTCGGGATTCTAGGTGGTCTTCTGACCTGTTCTCCCACTTTTTTCAGCCGTTGGCTGCTGTGTATTAGCACCTTTGTGCATTTTGATTTATAATATTATCTATCGTTTTGGGAAAAAAAAAACCTTGAAGCATTAATTGTAATCAGTTTTAACTTCCCTTAACAACCCGATTTATTGTTTTAAAAAAATACTCTATAATATTGGATTAAACACTAAATCCAGATGTTTTGATCAATTCTATTTAAAAGCAGTATTAATTATGGAATCAAATATTATGGAGTATATTTCTAAAATCAGTATAATTATAGAATCAAATAATTTAACCACGATTCAATCTATATCTCTTTTTAGACTTATCAATTCATTTTAATATGATATAAATTTGCCGTAAAAATGATAGTAGGATTTTACAATAATCATGGTATCAATATCTATCTATATATATACATATATATATATATATATATAAATATAAAGGTTTGATTATTTTTTAAATAGTAACTATTTCATTAAAAAAAATCTATTTACTCTTTTACAAAATTAATTTAACAATTTATGGTATATTTCAAATAATCACTTATGAAAATTGCAGCTCATTATTTAAGGAAATGATATAAACAATAAAAAAATTATTTTTAAGATACCTTAATTACTCATATCATGTGAATTTGGCTTTACCTAAATATAAGAATTTCAGCTGCAACATCAATTATGTGATTTGGTATAAATCTTCCAACTAAATTGTATAATTAATTATTTAATAAATGTTTTATATTTTTCGTGTAATTCTTTGTGAAATGCATTTTTAATATACCTTAATTACGCAAATTGTGTAAATCTAAATGATTTATTCAATATGCAAATAATTACTAAAATTATGAAATGTCAACTAAAATAATCAATTATGTGATTTGCAGAAAACTATTCTAAAAAAAATTGTGTTAATTACAGTTTTTATTTAAATAGTATTTAATAATTGTTAATTATTTATTGTGTATTTAATTGCTCAAATTGTGGATAATGAAGAAAATAATTAGACCATAAAAATTTACATTTTTAAGATACCCTAATTACACAGTCGAGAAAATTTGGTTGATTTATTCAATCATAATTGTTTTATTAAATTATTTCAAAATAATTGTATTAATGGCAGCTTCTATTTGATTATTTTTTAATAATTGTTTTTTGGGTCTTTTTTATTTTTATCTATAAAAAACGTGAGTCTCGATTTTGTTTTGTATGCTGGGCAATTATTTTTGTGGTAAAACTGAACATTATTTTTTTATTTTATCGATAAAGGAGTCAAATTTTTTGGTATACTATATATTGATCCAAGATACCCGCTTATGGTAAAAATGGTATCTCAATATTGTTTTTATATTGCTAATCATTTTACTCGAAATTAATAAGAAAAAAATATGGAGAATATTATAGTTTGTAAATGTGCGTGGAACATATCAAATTATTTCGTATTTACTATAGGTTTGTATTTACTTGAATCACATTGTAGTCAAATAGAATTTCTGGATAAATTTTTTTAAAATTACACCTATTTTGGGCGAAAAATTTTTTCGTCTATATTTGGAATTTAATTAATATTTATTTATTAGCAAATCTTATGCATAAACAACATATTTAATTTTTATATACTCAATGTCTATTACTCACTAACTACAAATTGGCTTAAATTGAAATTTTGACCGTTGATTTATTAGATATATTTTCAATAAGATCTTATATTAATTTAATAGTAATTTATTGACACAATTCAAAACATTATTATGAAAATTGATTTGATTAAATATATTATCATTTATGGTTGTAGGTACTAATTTAATAATTATATTCATTATTCATAAGTACTTAAAATATTTAATAAAATAATCAGAATAACTATGTTTGAATCATAACAACTTAATATAAAAGGTACCTCCCTCTTGAATATATACAGTGATAATACTATCGAAAATTTAAATAATATACTAAAAAAATAAAATTTGATGGTCGGGTGCAATTCAGAACTATAAATTTCACCTTAGAAGTATCTATGTACATTAAAAAACTATTCAGTTTTTAAAAATATATACTTTTCTTATATACTATTTTATAAATAAAAGTAAGTAAATAAAATAGCAATATATAATAATTTAAATTATAGCACTTGGTAATTATGGAAATATATAATATACCTAAATATTCGAATAGATACTTTGTAATTCACTATATAGACTGAAAAAATGAATTAAATAAATAAATATAAATAAAAAATGAAACCATAAAAATAAATATTTAACCATTAAAAATTTGTGTGTTGCATAAGGACTAAAATTACTAAAAGTTAAAATTTATCTATCAAAGTTTTTAACATTTAATGCATTTAATAGTTATAGCGGAAGATACAAGTAATTTGTATGCGAATATCACATAATCTTATACATTTATAATATTTTATAAACTTATAAATAATAAAATTTATATATTAAATAGTCAAAAAATACAAAAAAATTATATATTAAATAGAAATTAATAATAATAGTAAATACATCAATGCCATATTATTACTGAATAGAATATTGTGGAAAATATAATTTCATATTGTCTTAATAATTTTATAATATTTAAAATAAAAAATATTTTTTGTAATGTATCCTTATCTATATATATTGAATAAGAGAGGTCAATAAATTATTTGTGGAAACTTCATAAAAAATCCCATCAAACTATTTGACTTACTTATAATAGAAACATTTTAAATCTTCCACAAAAAACAATTGTGAGGATTTTTATGAGATCCGATGAGGCAAAATCATTCCATATCAGATAAAAATTATGTTTACACCATATCCGTGAATATGGTTATGTAATTTTTGGATAAGATATTTACACCATATCCGTATAAACGTGCACCACAATCACATCGGCACAGGAGAATGAGGCGTCGTAGATGAATGCGAGGGATTTCGGTTGGAAGACCACAAGTAATTTCGAATTCGATGCAACCCCTGCTGCTTGGCTGGTGGATCCAGTGAGGTTGTGGATCCAGTAATTTCAAATTCGATACTTTTTTGCTAATATTTCTTAGAGTTTCTTTTTTGTTTTCATTTTATTTTTTTGTGATTCCAGTTGTTTTCTTAAGTAATTAGCCTCGATTGCGCGGCTGCACCGACCTTCCTCTTCCGCCGTTAGCATCGCGACTTCGGCCAGGCGCTGCTGTCTGTGGATGGACCGGGGAAGCACCGACCCCACCTAACGATAGTGACGGGATGAGCATCTTAATGTTCTGCGCACCCGTTCAGTGAAAGATAATCAACAAAATCACCGGGTTTTGAATGACCAAATAATGGGTAATAATGATGACGACGATGGCAAAATGGAGAATAACTTGATATACCTCAATTCTAGACCCCAGAGAATGTACAGACAAGCTCCAACTAACCAACTAACCAGGTTTCATTTTTTTTATTCATTAATTAGACTCATTGGTCATGTTATGAATTTTGTGCTTTTGTGATCTTAAAGATGCGACATGTTATCTCTTTTCTTGGAAGGAACAAGTGAATAATTTGGTTGAGAACAATCTTGATCCATGAGCAGGTTGATACCTCAAAAAGGAACTTGATAAGTAATGAATGTATGCTGCGACTATGGGTGTGTGACTAAATATCTCAGAAGCCTTTGGTTTTCTTGCTGAATTTTTTAACAAATAGTTTTACTGAAAAATCATGTGTTGTTAGTTCTTTTGTTTGGCATTATACACGAAGCTAAAAGAAGGATAGACTTAGTTGTTTTGTTAAAAAAAAATGGATTTTTTTAGATTTGTATGCGTCCAGTAACTCTTTCTATAGGTGGAATTTCTCGCCAAAGGGTGTTTTTATCATATTGCTCTATATTATTAGGCCCCGAGTTTTGAAATCATCCCAACATCTGTTTCATTTTTGTCTTTCATATTTTTTGGACATTTGGGATATTCAGAGTCAAACAACTCCTAATTGTTTAGATGGTTGTCGAGTCACTCATAACAGAAAACTATGTATAGATCTTCTACCATCTCCAAGAAGCAATTGTTCTCATTATTTCATTTTGACAATAAAAAAATATCAAAATCATTTTTCGTTTCTGTGCACCTGACTGCAGATTTTTAGCACTAGAAATGGAGTGGGACAGCAGCGTTGCCACATTTGGGCTTGATTTTCATAGTGGATAGGATCGGGAGGCGGCTGCTCTTCATTGAGATTTGAGGGTGGCCTTCAGATGCTCATTTGCCAGGTATTATTATTATTATTATTATTATTATTATTATTATTATTATTATTATTATTATTATTATTATTATTATTATTTGTTGTTGTTGTTGTTGTTGTAAATGTAAATCCCTATTAGTTCGTTAGTTTATTTGATATCCTTTCAATTTTTTTTTTATTTTTTTTGTAACATTTGTCTATGAGTAATCTTTGAGTTTGACAGCATATCTTATCTGGTGGCAATAATTCCTAATACCATTTTAAAAAAAATAATTTCCTTTTGAAACAAACAAAATATATACATTATGTGACAAAATTGACAATATGTATTAAAAACTTATAACGTCGTTACATTGTAAATTTATAAGAATATTTAAAATAGTTTATCTCCATATTCATAAAACTAAGGTAAATAAATATTGGCTGGAATAATTATATCTTAATATGATGGAAATCTTTCGATTATTCTCAACTTCATTCTTCTAATTTTTAAATTTATAAGAATTTTTAAAATATTTTATCTCCATATTCATAAAACTAAGGTAAATAAATATTGGCTGGAATAATATATCTTAATCTGATGGAAATCTTTCAACTATTCCCAACTTCATTCTTCTAATTTTTTTTGTTTCATGTTCAAGTAATTCGCTCAGAAAACTAATGTCCCTAATGTAAATAAGAAGTTAATTAAATTTATGAATTTATAATGTTTATCTATCAGTAAGTGCAAAATAATCTCCTTGATTTGGGGACATAAATATTTGGTATAGATAAAAACTAAATTAGAATTTAGCTATATTATTACCCACTAAATTCGTGAAAATTTAAGTAGTAACCATATTTTTATATATTTTCAAACATTATTATACAATAATCAACACATTATAAATCCCTAAAAAATTGCTCGGTGGTTACATTTGAGATAACTGATTTCTTCTACACACATATCTCTATATCTATAGTAATATAAAGAGATTGTTATAAAAATAGAAAAATAGTAACTTTGACTTAAAAAAAAATTGTTGACTTATTTTGATAACAAGTCTGGGATCTTGGTAACAAATTTGATCTTATTTTGATAACAAATCTCGAATTTTGTTAACAAATTTGATCTGATTGTATAACAAATATCGGATTGTGATAACAAATCTCGAATTTTGACAACAAATATTTTAAAATATCATTTTTTTTGGTAACACACTTCATAGTTATTTACACACAATATATTGTCGATAATCTTTGGGATTTCTTATGATAGCATATGTCACAATTTTTTCGGATTGTTTGGCGTCAAATATTGCAGAAAAATCTCGAGGTACATATCAAAATAAAAATATTATTTTTCAATCAATCCAAAAAGCCTTATCAAATTAAATTGTAACAAACACCATTAATTTTGGTAAACATTATGTCACATTGATATAACACATAATCTTCAAAATAAAAAATTAATTGTTGATTTACTAATATAAGCAATATCAATGGGCCCCACATGTCAACCAATTTATTCGGATTTTGGTAACAAGTTTGATCGAATTTTGATAATAAATCTCGGATTTTAATAACAAATTTGATCTTATTTTGATAATAAATCTCCGATTTTGTTAACAGATTTGATCTGATTGTGATAACAAATATCGAATTTTGATAACAAATCTTTTAAAATATCGGTTTTTTTGTAACACACTTCATATAATTTACACATAATATATTACAGACAATCTTTGGGATTTCATTTGGTAACAAATTTCACAATTTTTTTCGGATTGTTTGGAGTTAAATATTGCAGAAAAAATCTCAAGATTTGATAAATGATACATGTCAAAATAAAAATATTATTTTTCAATCAATCCAAAAAGTCTTACCAAATTAAATTTTAACAAACTCCATTAATTTTGGTAAATATTATGTCACATTGATATGACACATAATCTTCAAAATAAATAATTAATTGTTGACTTACTAATATAAGCATTCTCAATGGGCCCCACATGTGAACCAATTTAATCGGATTTTGGTAACAAATTTGTTCGGATTTTGATAACAAGTCTCGGATCTTGGTAACAAATTTGGTCTTATTTTGATAACAAATCTCGAATTTTGTTAACAAATTTGATCTGATTGTGATGACAAATCTCGAATTTTGATAACAAATATTTTAAAATATCAATTTTTTTGGTAACACTTCGTAGTTATTTACACACTCTATATTGTCGATAATCTTTGGGATTTCTTATGGTAACATATTTCACAATTTTTTCGGATTGTTTGGAGTTAAATTTTGCAGAAAAATCTCGAGATTTGATAAATGATACATATCAAAATAAATATATTATTTTTCAATCAATCCAAAAAGTTTTACCAAATTAAATTTTATCAAACACAACTAATTTTGGTAAACATTATGTCACATTGATATAACACATAATCTTCAAAATAAAAAATTAATTGTTGACTTACTAATATAAGCAATTTCAATGGGTCCCACATGTTACCAATTTAATTAGATTTTGGTAACAAATTTGATCAGATTTGGATGACAAATCTCAAATTTTGGTAAAATATTACTTTTCAATCAATCCAAAAAGCCTTACAAAATTAAATTGTAACAAACTTCATTAATTCTGGTCAACATTATGTTACATTGATATGGCACATAATCTTCAATAATCGACAAAATCCAAGACACATGTAACAAATTCCACATTTTTTGTTTCTGTTCTTTTTTTCTTTTTTAACAAAAATGGTTAAACATATTTTTTGAAGTCGATCGTAATCACATTATTTAAGAAAATAAATCATACTCAACTTAAAAACTTGACGTAAATCAATTTTTAAATTTCGGTGCGGGGCATATGTCACATACACAAATGTCTATATAACCATCACCAACATTGAACAAAAATATTCTACAACCAATACATCCCACAAAATTAATTTTTTTTCACAAGTTTTTTCGTATACATTCAAAATGACATTGGATTTTGGAGTAATCATGGATATCAAATAATATTGGCATCTATAAATCGACGATAGGTAATTGGAGGATCATTATCAATGGCCAAACCAACATTCTCAAGTGGAGGGGTGAATTTCCTATGTATCGTTTTGACTTTAGTAACTTTCTAACTATAATGGATGTTCATAATGTTGATGAAGCCATGTTGTTTGGTACGTTATAATTTTTTGTTTATTTTTTATTTCGATTTTTTTAAGTTAAAATCTTTAATAAACTCTATTATACAATATACGTTTCAATATGATGCATTGTCTTATATTTTTGTAGATGTTATTGGATTGGTTGTTTCAATACAACCTATTCAAATGAAGGCTGTCGAGGGAGTTCCTACCAAATGATTGTATTCTCTAATTATGGATTTGGAGTAAGAATCTTTAGCATTATATATTCATATTTTATATTCTAATGTTTATATGATTTTTTTCTATTATATTTCGATTAATGTTTTACGCATATAATATCGTAAAACAAATTAAAATATCAATATTTAAAATTTATTTTCGCAACTCATAATATGCCCAACCTCTTGGACATTGTGTAGGGAAAACATAAAGAACTGCACGGTTTGGGGTCAATTGTATGTTGTTGTCTCTCGTGTCACAAACAGAAATGGTTTGAAAATCCTAATTTGTGGCGACGATGACGTGTCAAATAATCAAACCATGAACGTTACATATAAGGCAATGTTCAATAAGATATATATTTTATTTTCATTATATTTATTAATTTATTAATTATTAATGACATGGTCTTTCCTTTAGTAAGTACTTAGAATTTTAACTTAAAATATTTTTTAAAAGGGACAAAGATAATAAACTCCCGTACATTGCACGGGTACTGTACTAGTTTATTCTAATGACGAAGATATACTTTTCTAGAATTCTTGATGCATCAACAAAAATAGAATTAAAGTATGTATATAGTCAAGTGTAAGGTAATCTTTTCGGCCATAACTTAGAAAAGCATCAACATTTGGCAATAATTGAGATTCGATCAAATCTATTTGTCAAAAAGTAAAGAAGGCTTTGCAATCTGCCTTTTGACACGTGAACCTTACTTATTCGGTTATTCAATTTCTCATAGTAATTAATTAGCAGTTACAAATATCAAAGTCCAGATCAGCTTGTTACATCAACTATAAAATAAAGCCGAATTATCATTTTGGGTCTACAAAACATCAAACTATAATTGTTTATAAAATCCGTAGTTAAAGACATTGTTACCAATTACCAAAGAATGATTAATTTTATAATAATGAAAAGAACCCTTAAAAAATGAAAAATAAACTAAATACTTAATAAACGTTAAGTGCAGAAAAATCCGTATCAAATATCAATCAATTTTTAATGAAAGTGTGAGTCACCATTTTAGATGCAACCCTTATCAACGAAAAATAGATGCAAAAACATTATTTATTTATTAATTAATTAAGAAAAATCACAGAGAATTATTTAGGCAGGCGGGCCACACAATATATAAATTTAGCGGAAAGAAGTTTCAATGGACGCCATTGAAGAAGCTCCCAAGCTCAACGTTTTTTCCTTTGGAAAACACCCCACATCTCTCTGTCCATTTCCTTATATAGCCACAACCATCCGGATTTAACTGTTATTCCTTTTTCCTTGTATGTTATATTCATCCCTCTGCCTGTGCATCTGCGTTATTCATCATTATACGCCGACAAACAGCCGCGGGTAGCCTTGCCTCTGACCGGAGATTCCGTTGAGAAATCGGCACCGGAGTAAATAAATTTTATTTTTTAATCATTTTTGTTGTTATGGATAATCGCGACGGCCATGATTGTGCTCGCGGAGAAGAGGATGTGGAGAATGAGGGGGAAAGAGATTGGCCGTACGAAAGGAGGGATAGCCGTGCGTCGTCGTTTTGGGAGCGAGAGGGCACCGTGAGAGAGCCGCTGCTGAGCTCCAGAAGCAGAGTCAACGCCACTTCTCAGATCGCCATTGTTGGCTCCAAGGTTTATCCCATCGAGAGCCTCGATTACGAGTACGACTTTCCTTGATTCAGATTCTCTCCTTTCTCGCTGCCATGGTCACTTGGTTGAGCTCGATTATATGTTGGGGAAATGTGTGCTTTAAAGTTTAATTGACATCAGCTTCAGATTGATTTTCCAATTTCCGCACCATAATTTGATTCATCATGTAGTTGCGATTTTTTGGGAGATTTTGTTACATTTGGTTCACAACCTGGAATAGCCAACTGTTAATGCATCTCTTGTTGTAAGAGCTTACAGGATTCATGTTGCTGTATTTTTGTGGTTGTGTTCCATCCAAAACACAGTTGCAGTAGTCAAATGAAAGCTGATTTTTCTTGGATCCTTTCTCTGCTTTTGCAGGATACTTGAAAATGAACTCATTAAGCAGGATTGGAGATCTCGGAAAAAGATTGAGATTTTTCAGTATATATTTCTCAAATGGACACTGGTTCTTCTCATCGGACTACTCACGGGCCTTGTTGGCTTCCTCAATAATCTCGGGGTGGAAAACATTGCTGGGTTCAAGCTTTTGATTACGAGCAATTTGATGCTTGAGGATAAGTAAGCCCAATTCCGACTACAGAGTGAATATTCTGGGTCATGATCGGATGAAATTTCTGATTGATCGTATAAGGCTTCCTTTGAAAATTTTTGGATGCAAAATTATGATGAAATTATTCATTTTAACAGGTTCTTTGCGGCATTTGTAGCATTTGCTGGCATGAATCTGATACTAGCAATTTGTGCTGCTGCACTTTGTGCGTTCATTGCCCCAGCAGCAGCTGGGTCTGGCATACCTGAGGTGAAGGCCTACCTTAATGGAGTGGATGCTCATTCCATTTTGGCTCCCAGTACCCTATTTGTAAAGGTGAGCTGGACATGTCATGACTTCCTATCCTATCTTATAGCCTTCTTAATTTACTTTGTTGTAATGGTCTGTTGAATTAAATGGGAATAAAATGCACACATCAATTATTGTAATTGATCGTGGTAAATAAGAGGTTAATCTTTTCTCTCTCTCTCTCTCTCTCTCTCTTTTTTTTTTTTATTGTGTATGATAGTGACAGAAAACAAGCAAACCTTTTTAATTTATTTTAAAATGTCAATATACCAGATCACATGTGTTGAAGAATACATTAATACCTGAGGTCCTTCATGGGACAGGTTCTTGATTTGTCTCTATATGTCTAGCCTGTCCTCTAGGTATTAATTAGTTGCAACTTGAAATTATGCATTGTGTTTCCACCGAATCTGGACTTCAGAGTTCATGTTAGCTTATCTCAGTTTGCTTAATCTTTCTGTTTTATAATAATAAAATGAATTGCTTTCTCTTTCTGGGTCAGAAAATTTAGAATTTATCCAATGGATCGTTGTCTTGTGGGCTGGCACTGACTCACATCTTAATTCTTGTGGTTCTTCAACATTTTCCTTTTCCAATTCTTCTCTCTTATCATGTTGGACATTTAGACTCACAGTTAGTGCCTTGTTAATTTTATTCTCCTGTTATCTGCTAATAAATATCTACATACGCCTTTTATAGATTTTTGGTTCCGTTTTTGGAGTTTCTGCTGGATTTGTAGTTGGTAAGGAAGGACCCATGGTGCATACTGGTGCATGTATAGCAAATTTACTCGGACAAGGTGGCTCTCGCAAGTACCATTTGACATGGAAATGGCTCAGATACTTTAAAAATGACCGAGACCGTAGGGATTTGATTACATGTGGAGCCGCTGCTGGTGTGGCCGCTGCCTTCCGTGCTCCAGTTGGTGGTGTACTTTTCGCACTTGAAGAAGCAGCCTCATGGTATAACTCTCCCTTTCCAACTTCCCTCATCTTTCATTCAAGTAATTGTTTTTTCTTTAGCATGTTTTCCAGAAAACATAAAATGGAGGGTAGTTGAATAGACGCTCTTGATTTTTCTTTTGACCACACCATTTTCAGTCTCTCGGCTCACGTTCAGAACAGCCAGATATTTATTGAAGAAATTGTTTGCAATTGAAAAAAATAGGAATAAAATATACACAAAAATAGCATGGCAATACATAAGGATATTGGCGACATCTTCCAAATCTGAGCTGATATGACTGTGTTATGCATTATATGTATGATGTTATAGGTGGCGGAGTGCGCTTCTTTGGAGGGCCTTCTTCACCACTGCCGTTGTGGCTGTGGTTTTAAGATCCCTCATCAGCTTTTGCCGAAGTGGGAAATGCGGACTCTTCGGCCAGGGAGGTTTGATCATGTTCGACGTGAACTCTACTGTCCCCGCCTATAACTCAACCGACCTGCTCGCGGTCATAGTCATTGGGGTCCTCGGTGGCCTTTTCGGCTGCCTCTACAATTATCTCGTCGACAAGGTCCTCAGGACTTACAGCTTCATCAACGAGTAAGCTCGTCCGCATCCCCTCCTTCTCATATGTTTCACTAATATAATTCTTGTTTGTTGCCAAAATGCGAGCATATCACGACACCAACACACAGTATATCTAGTAGTCAGCCACACAGATCAAGGAATGTAAATGGAATAGGATCATGATCAAACCTTATTCCATGGTATTTATTACATGAGGTTACTCTTTAAGAAAGTCCCCCAGACGGCTAAGTTGATCCATGATTACGACTCAGTTGCAACATAGTAGCTCTGATATAGCTAGCTCTTTTAGATACTTGGAATATTACTTTATAAATCCTAAAATAATACTCCCTCCTATTCATAATAAGTGTCGTGCGTTTTGAGAAGTTGGCACAGTAATTAAGAATCTTTTTTTTTTTTGTAAATAATAATCCTCATTAATGAAAATAGAGATGGATGTTTTGAAAAAAGATGAAGAGTGAATATGAAAAGACGTAGTCTGTTTATCAGCTAAATGAGGGTAAATAATAGAGAAATATGTACAAAACATCCAAAACGTCCTTATTTATTTGGTTAATGGTTGATAAAGTCAAAATGACATTTATAAAAAGAATAGGAGGTAGTGCTAAAAAAATGTCTTATAGTATCGATTTCAATATGGTTGCAACTAGGAAGAAAAATGAAAAATAAATACTAATCAAAAGTAGCATCACACAATCAAATCAAATCTGAATAATATCTTTTTTTGCCGGAACCAAAAAAAAAAAAATCGATTTCCAGGAGAGGCCGTGGATTCAAGATCTGCCTCGTGATCGTCATCTCCCTCCTGACGTCCTGCTGCGCGTACGGCCTCCCGTGGCTTGCCCCGTGCACCCCTTGCCCCGCCAACCTGGCCTCCGGCGAGCAGTGCCCCACCGTCGGCCGCTCGGGCAACTACAAGAACTTCCAGTGCCCCCCCGGCCACTACAACGACCTCGCCTCCCTCCTCCTCAACACCAACGACGACGCCATCCGCAACCTCCTCAGCTCCAGCAACCGCGACGAGTTCCACGTCTCCACCCTCCTCGCCTTCTTCCTCGCCGTCTTCTCCCTCGGCATCCTCACCTACGGCATTGCCATCCCCTCCGGCCTCTTCATCCCCGTCATCCTCGCCGGCGCCTCCTACGGCCGCCTCGCCGGCCGCCTCGCCGGCCCCGTCTCCAGCCTCGACTCTGGCCTCTTCGCCCTCCTCGGCGCCGCCTCCTTCCTCGGCGGCACCATGCGCATGACCGTCTCCCTCTGCGTCATCCTCCTCGAGCTCACCAACGACCTCCTCATGCTCCCACTCATGATGCTCGTCCTCTTGATCTCGAAAACCGTGGCCGATAGTTTCAATAAAGGCGTTTACGACCAGATTGTCAAGATGAAGGGGCTTCCGTACATGGAGGCGCACGCGGAGCCGTACATGCGACACCTGGCGGCGGGGGACGTTTGTGCGGGCCCGCTTATAACTTTTGCAGGAGTCGAGAGGGTTGGGACTATTGTGCACGCGTTGAGGATGACGGGGCATAATGGGTTTCCAGTGGTGGAAGAGCCGCCGTTTTCGGATGCGCCGGAGTTGTGTGGGCTTGTTCTGAGGGCTCATTTGCTGGTTTTATTGAATAGGAAGAAGTTTACGAAGAATAAAGTGTTGTCGGGTTCGGAGTTACTGAGGGTGTTCCATGCTTTTGATTTTGCCAAGGCTGGGTCGGGAAAGGGGCTGAAAGTTGAGGATTTGGATTTGAGCGAAGAGGAGATGGAGATGTACGTGGATCTTCACCCGATCACGAACACGTCTCCTTATATGGTGGTGGAGACCATGTCTCTCGCCAAAGCTGCGCTGCTGTTCCGGGAACTTGGGCTCAGGCATTTGTGTGTCGTCCCGAAGAAAAATGGGGTGAGGAAAAAATCCAAGTTTTTTACTCGTTTTCTTATACTTAAGTTTAGGGGAATATTGCGAAAACAAACTCGAGGTTTTGATCTCACTCAATTATTATCTTAAAAAATCACAAACACTTCCCCTGAAGTGAATTTGGAAGATGTTTATATTTTCATTACTACCAAAAACCTCGGGGAACACTTTTACAGTTGCGATGATCAGCTTTATAATTTTCGTTGTGAAATTTGCAGCGGCCCCCAGTTGCTGGAATCTTGACGAGGCACGATTTCATGCCAGAGCATGTTTTGGGACTCTACCCACACCTCAAGCACCACGAGTAGCCAGTTCATATTGTGTTAATAAATCTTTACGATCGAACAATCGGTATACTTGACAAGAGACTGGTGGATGCCTGAAGAACATATCTGTTTTTGGAAATCCACAGGTTTCTTGCCCAAATTGCTTGCATTCCACTTCCCAAAAATGCATATATTTATTTCGCTTGCGAGTAGGAAACAGGTCTATGTATTGGACTAAGTGTATTGTGTGATGGTTCATTCTTTTGGACAATATTGTTCCTTAGACTACATCATTGTTGTACAGAACTGGATCTCTGTACTGGACTATTAATGTAGAAAAAATTAAGTTTTGTTACTAGAAATTTTGGTCGTTTGAACTATTAATTACTGCTATTGGCTATTTTTTTTTTTTTTTTTCTCANCATTTAGGAGAAATTAAAGCATAGCTTATTTTTCTTTTCTGTAATCATTTTCCAAATCTTAGCAGTAGTGTTTAATTATTCCTAAGATTTTTAATATGTGGCACCTTTGTTTTCACACATGCATAAATCTAATAATATTATATACAAATTGGTCATGCAACATATGTACATACATCAATGCTGCTCTACCACATCCACAGTATTACTACAGTGGGGGAGCCTGTACTGTAAATTATAGACAAGGATTTTGCTTCACTTGTACTCTAATCCCTCAAATAAGGCTATCAGTAACTAACATGTGAAGAATGTTATTCTATTCTTCTGCACAACATTAAGTTCTACATACAGCAGTTCACGCCACGTTATCCTTAAATGGGCCAGAATTTTGTAATAACTTCATCACGATTTCAAGCTGTAAATAATAAGACATTTACAAATAAATAAATAAACGGATATGTTTTATGCTTCAAGAGGGGTTATTTATAATTATAACAGCTAACTAGCTTATTCAGAACAAAGCTGCACTTCACGGTATGCTTGGTAATTACATTGAGGAATAGAAACTACATTATGCAGGCACAGGAACGATTTAGAATCAGATGCAAGAAAATGGAAATTTAAAAGCAAAAACATTATCAACTTAACTAAAGATGTAGGGTAGACTTTTTAGAGTGGATGCTTATTACCTGAGCTTTTTCTCGTACCAAGTAATCCGAGATGACTTTTCTGAAGCCTTCGTCCACAATATAGTGACTGCTGTAAGTCGTCACCGGCATATAACCCCTCTGAATTTTATGTTCACCTTGGGCTCCAGCCTCTACCTTGTCGAGATTTAGTTCAATAGCTGCTTCTATGGCCTGCAGTGTGATAACAGTAACAAGAATAATGTTTCAGGAAGTAATAATTTAAAGTTCTAAAGATAACTATAGAAAGTGCCCTTGAGGTATAACAAAAATTTATTAATATACTTTCTGTAAGAAAAATAACATCTGAGGTATACAAAACCCACCTTTGAGGCTACACCCTCATTACATTTTTCATCTGTTATTCTTAGTAATGCTCAGTGTACATATTGGTGGGACTTAAACTATTTGAGTAACTCCACCTCGTGTGACTGCATGTACACCAAATTATATGCCTAGGGCCTCATTTTTTTTTTTTTTGTTGTATTTGTGTTGGGCTTGGCCTATTTACACAAATAAAGGGCTAATGGTTAAATATGGACTTGGTCTATTACATAAAATAAAAGGGCTAATGATAAAATATGTACTTTGTGAGAGAATTGATGTTTTAAATATTTCATTTGTTTTCTTATGATGTCCGGTTTGTGCGAGAATAAATATTCTTTGCAGTGATATAATTTTTATTTTCTTCTCCTTGTGTCTTCGTGACTGCTTGAATATAATTTACTAAAGATATTTGTAACCTAAAAGTAATTTATCCGTTCCAAGATCTAAAAAAACAAGAAAATTTATTTTTTTTCAATTATTTATTTATTTAATAGTCTTGTTTAATTAGGTTTTTTCTGCTATGATTCTATCTGCAAATATCCCTAATTACCACACAAAGTCAAAATAAAAAAATCGAAAAGAAAAAATTTGTCTGGGGCCTCCATATTTCTGGAGACGGCCTGACGAGGAGAAAACTCATGCTATTAATGGATCTAATCAGAATAAAATATATTTACATTTGTATCCTAAACTTGTGTTAGAGTATTACAAATAATCTCAATTTAGTCTTAACATTTTGCATCTTTATCCTACATTTTTTTTCCAAATGTCACAAATAGCAAAATGATAGTTTCGCGGTATAGCTTAGGGCTTGCTTGTTTATGAAATAATTTACTCACCATTCATATTCAAAATCTAACACAATTTTAACTCAACCCCACTATTTCTAGTATTATTCATATAATTTATTTCTAGTATTATTCATATAATTAAATAATACAAACCAATCATTCTTACACATCACATCAACTTTAATTCACTATTCATCCACTCACATAATTTTAACTACCTATCATTTCCAATCATTTATCTCCTACGTTTACATCAAATCAATTTTAATCATTTTATTTTAAATATTATTTTAATACATTCTTAAAATTCCACTAACAACTAACTATACCACATTTTTCAAAATTAACTCTAGATAACTAAAATAACTCATTTTGAATGAAATATTTCATAAACAAGCATGCCCTTATATTTTGAAAAGTTGAGGGATGCAACTGAATTTGATGATACAAGCACGTTTTGTCAAGTCAGTGACTGCTGGATTGGTAGGGCCGGATATGAACATAACTAAACCTAAGGGTGGTTTTGTAATTTCCAAAATCAACTGGCGATTGTTAAGGTTACTCTAACTTATTTTTGAAGAAGGAATGCAAGCAAAACCCAGAGCAATTTCCAAGCATTCAGCACTAATTATTTAAAGCACTATGAGCAGGAGCATGAAGCATAATAAAAAATAGCAATAGAAAACATTTCCAGCTGATCTATACCACATGTGATGTGCAGAAGAAAACAGGAAACCTGGTAGTAGCAGGCTTCAAAGTGAAGACTTGGGTAGTATGCTTCAGGAAGGCATCCCCATAAGCGCCCATATAATGTATCTCCACCAATAAGATTAAGTGCACCAGCAACAAGTTTGTCCTCTTCTTGGGCAGTAACCAGAAGCACATTATCACCCATCTTTGAAGCCATATTGTGGAAAAAATCCCTTGTTAGATAAGCACTACCCCACCTGAAGACATCAAAATAATAAAAAAATTAAAATAAAATTGAACAATATTCAATTTTTTATTCTTAAGTTAGAAAAATTATACTTTCTGAAAAGGTTCCACTAAGAAAAATATGAGGTTCAGTGGACAAACTTGTTATCTGTAGTATTTCTGTAGAACTTATAGAATGTATCCCAGTGCTTAGCCTGAGCAACCAACAGGGAAACAAAGTTGCACTTAGCGCAAGAAGAAAAATGAGTGATAGAGCATATGTAATACGTACCGTCAAAGATGAGAGTAATTTTTTTTAGAATATGAAGTATGTTGATAATCTGAAAGATACCTTAATTTCGTATCCTCTTAGGCGTCGCATGGTCAAATTCTGGACAGAAATCTGCAAGACGGAACTAATTTACATTATTAGCAAGTATATCTGGTCAAAATCATCCTAAAACATAGGTAGCAATAGGCAGAACAAAATAAAGTCTAGTCCCTCACCGATTTACTCAAACTGTACTTTAGCTTGACTTTTATATAATCAAGGCAAGTATAAGAAATTCCTCATAATAAATTTCACCAAAGATTCTTGCCATCTGTCCTCATAGTCTTAGAAAAGACAAGCAATCAATAAAGTCCAAACCTTACCTTCTTGCGCTCTTGACGAATATTTTTCCTTTTACTTTGCTTCATGTCCATCAAGAATTCATCAAAACTGTTAATACTTAAAAAATCATTAGAGAAGACAAGAAGATCCTACAATTTCCTGAACTATTCTGTGCATATCGCTATGTGATAGAAATTGTGGCTGACAGGCCGAGATGAGGAGGCAAGGTCTAATTTCTTGTAATAGTCGTCGTTCGTCAAAAATGAGGGAGACAGATTATTATAAACCAGAGAACACAAATTTTTGGTTGATCACATCAAACTAACCAATATGCTTCATGCACAGAAGATAAAAGATATTAGAAGGTACCAGATCATCAAGAAGAATTTTGACGTGTTGCGGAAGGTTCAGGACAACAAATTTAGTTTATGGGCGGCCTTCTATAACGATGATAAGAAACGTAGCATAAATCCTCATAGCCACCAAAGTATTCAAGTAAACATGAGTCAGTTTCAAAATCGGAATAGTTTCAGATTTCATTTCAACTGGACGTATGGTTTGACAATAGACGGTCCAAACATTTCCGAAACATAATGCAGGATACGAGAATCACACAGCTTATCATGTATACTTCATCTCATCATCCACACATTCACCTTTTCCGTATCCACTCCATGGATTGAAACTAAGGAGTTCCAGAGATTATGCATGGAACTATGTTCTTAGCTATATTTCACAAGGATATTGATATAACTTTTAAAAATATCACGAAATAAGATTTCATTCGAGAAAAATTCGCCATATTGTTAATCATACTTGTGGACATTTATTACTAATAATTTGGAAGGTCTCTCAGGTTACATAAAGAGAACGTAATATGAATCTATCACTACTAATGCAAAAGGAAAGAAAAAAATGCTAATTTAATTTATAAGATTCTCCATTCAGCCATTTCGTGGAGCAAAATAGAAACCAGTAGCTACCTTTTGTAATTACGGTTTTTCCAGTGATACTGCATACCAATTCTCTGCAGGAAACCCTTCTCCTTCAATTTCCCCCACTCACCAGCAGAGGGAAAAGTGACGTGCAGAGATGAAACTTGAAACTGGGATAACACAGATATGTTAATACCAACCGTAAGACATCGTAAAGTGGTCATTTCATGCCTTGGAGAAGATGCAAAAGAAACAGATAAAAACATAGTTGAATATGTGCTGCAGCTGTTCTAATAAATATTTGCTCATAACAGCAGGGTCACAGTTATGTCTCGTGAATTTTTCTCAAAATTAATTCATTCAGGGGGCTAACAAGACAAAAGTATATGTATCAAAAAAGGGGAAAACTAGTAAACCTGATGTCATATGATGCATATCTTGTTAGAGAGTTCAGGTTAACTAGTAAATTTAAAAAGCAATCATTTGCCTGAACTTTCTGGCAGTTTATAGAAAAGATGCTGATCAAATTTAAAAATGGACTATAGACACCACAACATATTTCACCCAGAAAAAAACAGACACACATGTTGTAACACACAATTTCAGTTCAGGTGTGTTAGAGTCTTAGAGACAGATTTAAGGACTTTCCATACAATTAAGGCTTTATGTGAACCTAAAATGAAGTTATAAAAGTTATGGGTAAAACTAGAAATCATCTGTACTTACCTGAATTGTCAGCGCCACCAATGCAGAGACTAAAATATCAAAGACCTGATCTTTGTAATCCGTATTACGGACTAAGATCCTCGAGCCAGGCACTGGAGTGAACGGCACACAACATTGTAACTTTGGATAATATCTTGACCCATAACTGTAATAGGCATCAGCCCATGAATGATCGAACACGTATTCACCATAAGAATGGCTGCAGAATCGGATAAAAAGAACCAAGGTACAAATAAGTAAGAGAACTTCATATACACTGACATCTGCAGACATTTGCAGTCTGTTTGTATATGCATGCACTTGTGAACATGATTGCTTATGTACAGAAAATTTGTTACCATTTTCTTTTCTCACTTAAAATAAGGAACTTTGTGAACAAAAAACTCAAAACCTCTTTAGGTAAAGAGGAACCACTCCAAGAACATTATTACAGTCATCCCGAGCAATGAGATGCTGAGGAACCCAACCTGTTTCCTGGAATGAAGTACAACCAATTACTATCTTAATTATGAGGGTGACAACATGATGGGTGAAAAAAGAAGATTCGATTATTAGTCTTGGCTATTATACTAAGCTTTCTGGTGTCAATTTGGTTGGTCTGGGATAAACATATGGCATGAAGAGAATCTATTCTGTGAATTCTAGCCGTTGAAAAAGAAAAAAAGTAAAATCATAAACAGCCCTCAGGGAAAATCGGTGTTTCCCTCCTTTAACCTTTGTATTATAGGCTCAAAACAGCTAGAGATTCTCATTCAAATGCGCAACAGCGTCTTTGGCCAGTTCAAATTCACATTTATGACCCCTCACTGTATAATACATAAGTTCACTGCTGAAAAATAAGATCTTCATTTCAGGTATAGATAACATCATTTTTTTATTTATTTATTTATCTTATGATGAAAAACCAAACATAAATGATAATACATGTAACTGCAAGCAGCCAGCTTATTGAAATGTGACCCCTCACTGTATAATACATAAGTTCATTGCTGAAAAATAAGATCTTCATTTCAGGTATAGATAACATCATTTTTTTTTTTTTATCTTATGATGAAAAACCAAGCATAAATGATAATATATGTAACTGCAAGCAGCCAGCTTATTGAAATACACATAAATGTAAACTGATGTGCACACACATGGTGGCTAATCAATTACACATCACATAAGTTTAGATTACTAACCTTCACTGCACAGCCTGACTCCTCCAGGCTCAAAAGAAAACCGTGGGAGAGAAATGGGTTATATTTCTCCTGACCTTCTGCATCAAGACTGCAAGCATCCCACTCATCCCGAGAAATCTTGGAGATAGAAGATAACACGCAAACTGATAGCTTTCTGGCTTTACCTGAATCAGTTTTGCCATCCTGTTACAGATCAAAAGCAGAGATTGGCTGAGCACAAAATCTCCCAAGAACAAATATATGAAGGATTACCAAGTGAACACCTCAGAACCAAAGTCAGTCAAACTGAAGTCACCAATGGACAGGTCCAGTTTTGTGGGCTCCACCGCCTTCCTTGAACCCCAAAATATGGCTTTAACATTGAATCCAACATTGCTGTTGTGGATGCATTTAAAAGACGTTTTCCTCTGTAATCAGAAAGTCAGGTATGCAATAGTAAACACAAAAGGAAGTAAACAAAACTAATAATCTCGTCTCACTTAAAATGACAATAAGCACAAGAGTACAGCAGATGCATAGCATTTCCTGCGGAAGAGACAGTATAGTTTCCTTCATAATGGATAGAGCCTCTTGTAGCATGCCTTAGTTCCTTTACCAGGAAAACAGATGATGATCTTAAACTGGATATTTAAACAACAACAACAACAATAATGATATTATGATAAGTTCATAAATAATGAGTAGTTAACAAGATTTTGATCTCTCGAAGTACACACGGCAAATCCTTTCTTATTATAATAACTTTTCAGAATCCCAAACTTGGAGTGAAGTCATCATGGAAGAATCATGTACTAGTAAGTAGAGCGAGATGATATGGCCTTCACCAAACACTAAGAACTTATACCAGACATTGACAGTCAACAAACTTATGTCAAAGAGAAAAAAACTTTGTTATGTTATATGACAACACACACGTGAAGTATTCTGTTAAGGTATAGGGAAGTCAAGACCCAAGAAACTACAAAAAGGTAAAAGGCAGATACAGTAAAGGATATCTTATACGATTTTGACTAGAACATGCCAAAAGGACAAAGGTGCATAAAGATCATTTTCAAAGAACCATTGCATTGAAAAGTAAAGATCCACATCAAATCCTGCTGCAAGAATTGGGCACCTCAAACGACGAGGGAGATTCATGATTCACGACCGTGTGTACAACAAAAATTATTTTTTCCAGAAAAATCATTTTCTGAGTATGATAGAGAAACTAAGGACTACCATCACTACATTAGGGCATAAAATTTAATAAAACTTATAATTATGAACCTCATGTACAAAGATGAATTCGAATAAATCAATCATACTCCTCCCCCTCTTCTAAAGGTGGATGAGAAAAAAGAACTTGATAAATATA